GGAAGCTGAGAACTGGCGACTTTCTAGTACAACTTTAGTACGCGGAGCAATCTGTGGAGCTGGAAGCTGAGAACTGGCGACTTTGTAGTACAACTTTAGTACGCGGAGTAGCTGTGGAGCTGGAAGCTGAGAACTGGCGAGTTTCTAGTACAACTTTAGTACGCGGAGCAATCTGTGGAGCTGGCAGCTGAGAACTGAGAACTGGCGACTTTGTAGGACAACTTTAGTACGCGGAGTAGCTGGGGAGCTGGAAGATGAGAACTGGCGACTTGGTAGTAAAACTTTAGTACGCGGAGTAGCTGGGGAGTGGGAAGATGAGAACTGGCGACTTGGTAGTACAACTTGAGTACGCGGAGTATCTGGGGAGCTGGAAGATGAGCACTGGCGACTTTGTAGTACAACTGTAGTGCGCGGAGTAGCTGGGGAGCTGGAAGACGAGAACTGGCGACTTGGTAGTACAACTGTAGTACGCGGAGTATCTGGGGAGTGGGAAGATGAGAACTGGTGACTTGGTAGTACAATGACTTGGTAGTACAACTTTAGTACGCGGAGTATCCGGGGAGCTGGAAGATGAGAACTGGCCACTTGGTAGTACAACTTGAGTACGCGGAGTATCTGGGGAGCTGGAAGATGAGAACTGGCGACTTGGTAGTAGAACTTTAGTACACGGAGCAATCTGTGGAGGTGGGAGATGAGAACTGGCGACTTTGTAGTACAACTTTAGTACGCGGAGGTCGGTGACTTTCGAGAGGTGAAGAACTTGCAGAAAACAGGTGTTCCTGCGCTTCAGAAAGACATACAGAGAGACACATACACACACAGACATAGATACACACACACAGAGACCCACGCACTGCCTCAACACACTCGACTTAACACTTCACACTGAACACTTATAACACACTTAACAGATAACTCGCACTCTGACTTCCTACGTGATGAAAAATGCTTTCGGGCCACTCGTCGTCTAGTTGTTTTTTTAAAGGAATTTTTCTTGTTTTTCGTGGCTTCTGTGGCTTTCGTGGCTTCTGTGGCTTCTGTGGCTTCGTGGCCTTCGTGGCTTTCGTGGCTTCTGTGGCTTCTGTGGCTTCTGTGGCTTTTGTGGCTTTCGTGGCTTCTGTGGCTTTTGTGGCTTTTGGCTTTCGTGGCTTCTGTGGCTTCTGTGGCTTTTGTGGCTTTCGTGGCTTCTGTGGCTTTTGTGGCTTCTGGCTTTCGTGGCTTCTGTGGCTTTTGTGGCTTTTGGCTTTTGTGGCTGTTTGCTACTAGTCCATCTTTGGAGGAATGTGAAGTCAGCGCCCAAAGGCTTGGTTTGTGAATTTGAGTCAGTCCATCAGATTCCAACCCACACTGCGGACTCGTTTGCATTGTCCGACATTGATGACTTCCAGCCGCTTCTTCATCACATTTCTTGAGAGTCCTGATTCAGGCCGCCATGTTCATCCTTTGGAAATGCTTGCAATGCAGCAAGCAAGCAAGCAAGCAAGCAGGCAGGCAGGCAGGCAGGCAGGCAGGCGCGCAGGCAGGCAGGCACGCACGCAGGCAGGCAGGCAGGCAGGCACGCAGGCACGCAGGCACGCAGGCACGCAGGCACGCAGGCACGCAGGCAGGCAGGCAGGCAGGCAGGCAGCCAGCAGCCAGGCAGGCAGCCAGGCAGCCAGGCAGCCAGGCAGCCAGGCAGCCAGCCAGCCAGCCAGCCAGCCAGGCAGCCAGGCAGCCAGGCAGCCAGCCAGGCAGCCAGGCAGCCAGGCAGCCAGCCAGCCAGCCAGCCAGCCAGGCAGGCAGCCAGGCAGCCAGCCAGCCAGCCAGCCATCCAGCCAGCCAGCCAACCAGCCAGCCCGCCAGCCCAGCCAGCCAGCCAGCCAGCCAGCCAGGCAGCCAGGCCAGCCAGCCAGGCAGGCAGGCAGCCAGCCAGGCAGGCAGGCAGGCAGCCAGCCAGCCAGGCAGGCGGCAGCCAGCCAGGCAGCCAGCCAGGCAGGCAGGCAGGCAGGCAGGCAAACGATGCCCCTGTACCAAACGGAGAGCGTCCGATGCCGACGTGCTTGGGCATTATGACCCATGCATGTTTCGACCCACGGGATGTGTATTACATGTCCGACCGATATTGTTTGGTCGCGGCGAGGGTGACGCTGTGTCAAAGTCCCAAAGCTGTCGTCGTCTGGAATCTGGAGGGATGTTACCCTCTGAGATTCTCAGACGACTGGACTCGGGCCTACGTCTCTCTCGCAGAGAGTGGGCGTGACGATGCAATGCATGCGGTTTGCCTACTCTTTCCCTATTTCGAACCCAAGTTGCACTTTGTCGACTGCGGGGAGAAGCCCGGGCCTTCTTTGTCGGCCGTCACGACAGCTTGCACTTCGGAAGAGGTCCCAACCGAGGGAAAATGCAGGGGGGAGGCGGCGGTGCAAGTCGGATTACAGGAGCGGCGTCCGAAGATGCCCAAAAGCTCTGACCCCGACGTCTGAGAGCTGCTGAAGGCCTTGCAGCATATCCGGCCGTTGTCTGACACAAAGATGGTGGCCGATCTCATCGAACAAGCCAGGGGGACACGGTGTGTTCCCCTACAAGTCGCAATGGATTTGTGCCCTACAGGGACGACCTGTTCTGCGCGTGGATGGAGGGACCGCACAGGTCGCAGATTGCCTCTTGCTGCATGCACAAGTCCGCAAACTATGTGATGCAGAAGTTGATCGCCCACGCCACCGCTTCGACTATTGCTCTTTTTGCCGGAATGCTGGCGGAGTCCAAGATTGCAAGCAGACTGACAGAGGACCAGGTAGGCTGCCGCATCGTCCAGCTCACGTTGCTCCATCCCAATCTGACATCTGAGATCGCTTTCAAATTGGTCAAATCCCTCGTCCGGGTCACAAGCTGGTACAACTTGCTCTTCCACCGCTGGGGGAATTTCGTGCTGCAAACGATCTTCCTGTGCGAAGGCCTGCCCTTGGCCAATCGCT